ATCAACCGGAGACACCTCCAGTCATCGGAAAACAAAAAGGGATAGGAGGAAGAAAAGAAGAAAGAAACTAGGACTCACCCGAATGCCAAACGGAGTTTTTTCTAGAAAACTTTGGGCGACTCCTTCCAGAAAGTTCAGAAGCAACGATGGGTCTGCTGGCCTTAGGACTTTAAGGAAGAATGGGCAGTTGACGATGGAAGAGGAAAGAGATCTCCGGCGAAGATTCAAGAAAAGACTCTCTTGAGGAAGTTCAGAATGGCGAAACAAGAAAATGGAAGAGGAGCCCCATTTATATAGTGGCAATTTCATCATTGGGCGTGAAAAACGAAACATCGCATTTAATGCACACGACATCCCAAGCCGGAGAAAGCGGCTCGAGACAATGATGAAGCATTTGTGGTTGTTGAGAAACCCTTCGTCTCCTTACGACGCGTGCCCTCGGTGTCAGAAGATCGAAGGCTGGGGGCAGTTGATGAGACTTTTCTGAAATACTCCATGATAAAAACACGTGTCCTCGGTATTTACCAAAACACTGTTGCTAAAATCAAGCACCATCGGCGCATAAAGGTCCTCGCCCCCGAGGTACTCGTCATATAGGATCATGGCATTCAGTACGAGTTACAACCAACACGTAGCCTCGGTCTGATATGGTACCTCGGTCAGTATACCTCCCTCGGTTCCGAGATGGCCTTTCCTCGGTGCCGAGATATACCCGTCTTGAACGCTTCCTCTACTCCAGGATAAGCTATTGACGTACAGGTCATTAGCCTAGGCTAGTCTAGGCTGTTCATCATGACCTCGTCTTACACAATTAGTGTCAGAACGTACTGGAATGCAGGGGTCACAGCCAATAGGGGATGGACGCGTGGCGTATGATATCACATCAAAGACAGAGAACCGCATGCCGTTGCTGACACGCAACTTGGAAAAGCAAACGATTAATTACACCATTCCCTTGATGAGACCGCATTCAATGCGGTAAGGCTCGGAAATGAAAGGCAATAAATGCTCCTAATACAGAGCATTTATTGCATCCTCCCCGAGAGGAGTACATTGTACCGTCGGCATCCCGATGACCCAGCATTGATTGCTCGGGACCCCGAGCAGTTAAGAAGAGAAGACATTCCTCATCAGAATCAGTGCGCACACTGCCTGTACCTAATGATCACCTACTGACTACACTGACAGCAATCATGAGCTTTTGAGGTATAAATACTCCTTGCAAAAGGCAAGACGGGTATGCAACAAAAAACTCTTTACTACAATACACACTCAGTGTTTTCTCCTTCCTCTCTCTCTCTCAAAGACTGACTAGATCGTCGGAGGGGATACGCCGGAAAACACTCCGGCGCCCTTCTAACTTGTTCTTCTTTATTCCAGGAACCTCTTTCAGTCTTACTGGATCGTTCTTCCGCTCCCCCAGGGTCTCTCGTTGCCGTTCCAGGTTACCACCGGACCTCGCAGGCTGTTCCAAGCAGCGTGGTTGGTCACTCAACTGGCTCACTCGAGTTCACCAAGGGAGAGATCTGTTCTCGTTTTTATATTGTGCAGGATCTTGCATGCACACCTTGAACCCTTTTGTCAGAATAAAAAATAAAAAAATTAAAAATATCAATCCTCTGCCATATATTGTACTGCTTAAAAAAAAAAAGAAAGAAGAGGTTAATAACATTTTTTGTACCTAAATTATGTATTTTTTTTCATTTTAGTCCTCATTGTATCAATTTTGTCAATTTGATCCCTAAAGTATTCAATTTGTGTTATTTTTTTCCCTAATCAGACAATCCATTAAGTTTTTTTACAGAAGTGACCACTAACATTTTCTAGATAGTATCACGTACCCAACACGTGATCATTCCATTAAAAACTTAACGGTCCATCTATGAAATAATCAAAATGACGCAAATTGAATATTTTAACGACTAAATTGATAAAATTGATACTTAAATTGATAAAAAAATACATACTTTAGAGAATAAAAATTCTATTAACAAAAAAAAAAGTTACTTATCCTCCTATCTCCCACCAATCTTTAAGACTAGAGAAGTAGTCAAGCAACAGCAGCAGCAGCAACAATAACAACAACAATAGCTTCTTGTTGCAATGTCTAAGGCTATGATCGGACCTTTGTACCACTCCAACCATCAGCCATACAAAATGCTAAGACTATAATAACTGCTTCAAAAATAGAAAGCAGTTTTAACTAATCAAACAAAGCACAAGACTACGGAACCGGGTAAGAAATTTTGGTGTTGTACATATAAATTTTATAATTTTTGTGAATTTTGATACAAGGTTTTTGGTTTGTTTATAGCTAATGATGTTCTTAACATAATTGAGTAGTGATATGAATGCAAGGTACACTGAACAGTTTGATGTAGTTCAGTCTGAGCTTCAGGGCTCTAGGAAATAGGATTTGGGAATAAGTAAGTGACTACACAGAGTGTTTATAGTAGTTCACCAGCTTGGGAGCTCGGCTAATCTACTCTCAAAGGAGTCTCTTGCTCTTGAATGTATTGAATACTGAAAATTTTACAAAAAAAATGTTTTCTGTGAAGTTACGATGACTTGTTCTTTTTTTCAAGGGTTTTGCCCCCTATTTGTAGTTATCTTTGAGTCTAGCTTAATCTGAGACGAGATCCTCGCCCCTCCTTTGTAGCGATCGTCTTTATTGCGTAACAACAGTAGTGGATGCTAGAAAGATTACGAGACTTGCAACTACTGAGTAACTGTTGCTACAAAGAGGATATTTGGTGGGATCCAGCTGTCCTTTGCAAAGCCTTCCTCGAGATGTGGACACAAGAAATTGAGATCTGAGGTCTAGATCTGCAAACAATATAAATGAATTGAGCTCCCGACTTTAATGGCATAACCTGAATTATCGAGCTCAACTTTAAGTATTTTTATGCTACCATCAACAACAAAAAAAACTTACTACCTTTTAGATTAAGTTACAATTATTAAAATTTGAAGTATAACTTTTTTATACCAAGTTTTTAACTTTTGTTTGTAATCGATCCTAAAAATGTTACGATCGATCCTAAAATCTGTAGTATCGATTGCAAGTTATCACAAAAGTTATAAAATAGTTCTAAAAAATTATAAAACAAAAATTGCACATGTGCACGTCTAAAGTGAAAACAGATCAGCACAGGCAATAAAAACAAAATATTGCTGGCAATGTCATTTTGCAGATAGATTTTGACGGAAAATCTGAGAGAAAATGCCGGGAAAATAGTGGCCGCCATTTTCTTAGTTTTTTTTCTGTCTCTCTCTGTGCTGGGAAAATCACACAGATTTTGACGGAAAATCAGAGAGAAAATGCTCCGGTTCGAATCAAGATTCGACATTAAACAACATCCAAAATTAGGGTGCTGATAGAGCTCAGCTTTTCCATGTTGAATATGATCAATTGGATTTGATTCTAACTAATTAAACTCGAGCTCAAACCAAATCTAACTATTGAATTCAAAATTTTCATTTATATTTGGCTCAACATAAGGTTGTCACAAGTATTCAAATTGAACTAATCATTTTTAAAAAATTAAATCCTAACTTAATAATTTATTTCTCGATAAAAATCTCCTAAAATTTGTGCTATCTACTATAAAACTCTTTGTCAGAATTTCCCAAATTGTATTAGAGAAAAAAAAATATGTATATGATTTGAAACTGTTTTGGTAAAAATGTCATATTGTTCATCTTCCACAAACCAACTTACTAATAAAGCAATAAAAAACACTCTTTCGCGAAGTAATTTTCTCTTCTCTTACTTTAGTTTTTGATTATAAATTACCCGTGTTTGAAGACATTGTGTAAAATAAAAAATACCACTTGAACACCCATAATATATTCATCTCGTATTATATATCCATCACTTCTACTTAAAAGGAGTTCACTTCAAACCTTAGTTTTGATAGGAATATATCTATGATAAGAAAATCAAATCGAATAGTCCCCACTCTTTGATAATGAATCTAAATGTCACAATAAATTAGGTTAATAAATAATGTCAGTAAATTAGGTTCAAATATGAAAACAGGATAATTCATTGACATTTCAGAAAGATAAAATCAAAAGATCATGATCTCCAAAAGTTGCATCAAAAATCAAACAATCGAAAATCTTTATCCAATTCAAGGGAATGTTTCATAAATTTTGAATACCCCTTTAGGCAACAATTTAAACTTTGGACTGCACTGACTTCTTAGGTATACGGTACAATGGGATAAACTTAGTTGGTACGATATTTTAAGTCGCGATTCATTTTAAAACTCTCATATAGATCGTTTTCACTACTAAACAACATTATATATCAGAAAACATCTACAAACACTAAGTCAGTTACTATTTATTTTACATTTGTGCTGAATTTTCTATAATCTAAAACAATATATAATTACAAATATATATACACATAATTAATTAATACGTATTTTATATTTATGTTATATATTCCAAAGCGAAACGATTTAGAATTAGTATTATAATTTGAGATTGTACATTTTTGTGATCTAAATCCCAACCCATTCTGTTTGGAATTAATATACTCAGATCGCGGTTTATTAGAGATTTAATGAATTTTAGTAAACATGGTATGGAAATAAGTCTGGATATTGTCCTTTTGATCCAAGGCTTACTTTGCCAGTACCATCTTTGGATTTCTTACTTTAGTCCTACTGCTAAGATTAGGGCTAGTGGAGTTTGGAGTTCACATTCATCAAGATAGAGTCCTGTGCCTGCTTGCTAGTGTTGCCTTCCCCTGTTAACAGATCCTAGAAGTCTCTCTTAGCTTAGCATAGTATTTCATCTCTTCCTTCAAACAAGCAAAGGAAAGCCCTTCCAGAAGCTGGTCTAGTTTCGGTAGGTTCGTGAGGAAAGGAAAAGTTTGAAACTGAAACTGTCGGTTAAAAACTCCGGTGCCATTAGTCAAAGTAAATAACGCACAAGTTATAACCCTTTTTAGTCTTACATATGCACAACAATCCAAACTAGACAGTCGAACTTGACAATGCAAATGAAGCATAACAGAAGGCCACCCTGATTATGAGCTAGAATTGCAGTGTAAAACATGGCAGAAACAACTCCTTTATTGACCATCATGGAAAAATGAAAGATAAAGATGAAAATAAAATGCAAATGAGCCTACAATCCCACATATGCCTATCCATAACCTGCATTGTATCACTCCGCTGAGCTCCAGATGAATCCTGGGGGCTTGGTGGATTATCTAACTGCAAACATTTCTTTCTTATGGAGAAGACACCCAACATAGGTCAATGATAAGCGTTTAGGCACTGAATCACAAAGTATAAGGAAACAAATGTGAGGTTCTTTGGTAGCAAAAATCACTCAAACCTTGTCATTGACAAATTGTGGGCAGACACCTTCTCTATGCTACAACTCGTTTATCTTGCAATTTCAGACTCAAAGGTAACCTCCGTGCACCAAAAATTCTGTAAGCAAGATCCCCGTTTCTTCAACTCAATTGTGAGATCTGCTAACGAATACATCTTGTTATGCCCAAGCCACAACAGACAGCCAAGGATGAAGAAATGTGTGTAAAAAAGGGTGGAACGGCGCTGTTGAACAGCATATCAGCCACATTTGGATTAGTAATCATCCTCCAGAAGAAGAATAGTTCGGTATTCTCTCCAAAAATAAAGCCCTTGCAGCAGGGTCAGTTGAAAACCGACCCAAAACAGCAATTGTAGCGGTATTACTACCAAACTTCTCAATCCCTCTGGAAATCATGCAAGTATGGTTAGCTTCTACCACTACCATTACATCTCCACCTGATAGCAATGACACAGTCTCAGCAATCTGCCTCGTCAGCCTTTCCTGTACTTGAAGTTTGAAACCATAGAAATGTACTATGGACTGCAAATGGGATTTCCCAATGGGATTCACTCCTTCTGCACAAAAATATCCTATATGCACAACCCCATGAAAGGGAAGAATATGGTGCTCACATTGAGAACAAAATGACAAGTTTAGTTCAGAATGGACATGCTCTTCATTATCGCTGGCATCCCCACTAATTTTAAAAGGATCAATTGTACCATGAACAATACCATTCAACTTCATCTCTAAGTTAGAATTCTTAAAGTTCATCAGCCACTTCAAAAAATGAGTAGGCGTTCCGACTAGTTCTTTTCTTGATGTGTCTTCACCTAGAGACCTGAGAATTGAAGCTACTGCAGCATTCATTCCCACATTGGCGGGTCCTGTTTTAGAGAAAGACCGAGATGGGCACCAACATTGGTCAGCAGAGTTTCTGGAATGGGTACTCTCTACATTTATGTCTCTTAATTTTAAAAGACTCAGAAAGTCACCCCAAATATCTGCCTTCTCATTTTTGAAAACTCCTGAACCTGATGTAACCAAAAGCTTCACCCATCCTAGGTGATTGGAGTCGAGACATGTTGATTCAAAACTTGGGAAGTGGATGTGTAAACACTGGAGAATGACTGCAACACCTGTTGGCATGATTCCATGTTGTAAAGCTGAACAGACTTCATCTGCCAGGCGCTGCGGATCCTGGAGCCGTTTTGCAAAGACATTGGCTACCCGAGAGACCTTACTCAGCCCTAGCACCTGCTGCCCAGATGGTACATAACACACGTGACACTTGACCTGGAATGGAAGCAAGCAAGACTCGCAATATGAGAAGAAGTCAAGATCTCGGACAATCACAAGCCCACCCGCTCCTCCAGCATGTCCAACTCCACTTTCCAATCCAGCTTCCGGAAATAAAGCACCTTGGACTATGTCTTTCACATTTTGCTTGTAACCTGGACAGCGATGGAAAAAGAGAATAAGAAAAAAGAAATGTTATCCAGTAATAGTTAACTCATATGTCCCATTCCAACAATACAAAATTGTGAACACTTGTTATGAAATCTGCATTGGATGCTATGGAGCAGAAAATCATTTACATCGGGGTTTTCTTCCTTTTCTTGTGTCTGTTTTCAATAAAATTATGGCTTTTGCTGAATATGATGGAACAAGAAGAGAAGTCACAAACATTCACATTACTAAAGATATAAAAACCATGCACTCAAAATCAAGTAAGTAAGAAGCACATTGTTTCATGACCACTTTACTTTTCCAAGGCCTGATTTGTTTAGAGTAAACATCCCAAACCAAATAATGAGTCAATGGGAAGCACTTTGTTTCATGATCACTTTACTTCTAAAAGATTCATTTACACCCAAAATTGGATAAGGAGTTCCACCATTTAATCTGATGCCCCCAGTATGCATCTTGCCAACAGCCGTGCCACCAAGCCCTAAATGAACAACTACTACGCATTTAAGGTACACAGAACAAGCATTTCAATTCCAGTTAAAGTTGGTAACACTCCTCATTGTCAAGCATTCTCCTGTACCACAAACAAGATCATAGAACATAAAGGCTTTCGCCAGTAATCACTTGCATACCCCCCTGGGGGCCAAACTGCAAAAAAAGGATGTGAAAAAACTCTACTCAAATTGATAAATCCTGTAACCATAAATGCTTGAAATTCACAAGAATAATGCCAAGTACATAATGTACAAAACTATAATATCTTTTAGTGCCAGTAAGAGAAAGTTCAAACTTCAAATCACGGTTAAAAAAAAAAAGGAGGAAGTTCAAATCCTTCAAGGAAATTATTTAACTACTAAAAACCACCCTCAACTATGGCCCAGTATCACTTAATCACCTCACTTTTCAAAACCTGACACCTCGACCCCCTTCTGTCAGTATATCGTCCGGAAAATTCCTCCATCAATGGTTGGGGGAGAAGGAAGGAGGTTGGTTAACTGAGGGCAGTAGTTGGGGTAGGGGACCTTTCTCTGATAGGTTTTATGCATTTGCACTTGCCTTAAATATACACAGTTGCCTTTTCACAGACTTTTAATGGACATTTTTGTAATCCTGATATTTTAAACATACACGTTTGCAAACTGCGAAGTGACATTTTTCCATGGTTGAAGGATGTTTTTAGTAGTTATTCATCATAAGTAATACTCTCTCTCATTTGCCTGACAGCAGGTGACCCGCTTGTAACCATGTTAAGATTTTTGTGCACTGGATCAACCAAGTTAAGGAAAATAAAAATCCTTATAGTGAACTCTATAAACGATGAATAAGTGAGGAGGATTAGAAAAGTAAAAACAACAATGTAGACAGATAAAACAATACAGCTCACCTCTGGTGCCCTCTCGAAGGGCTTTGGCAACACGTAATGGGGTCTTCAGAAGACCTTCTCGATTGATATCTTCACCCAAACCCTGCAACAGAATTTTAACAGCATCCTTTATGACCAAAGTCTCTGGTTCTCCCTGAAAACCCAGTTCAATCTCTGTTACGTAATTGAAAGATACATAAGTTTAGTTCACACACGTCAAAGATGAATTGAAGTAGATGTACCAAATAGGAGAAAATCATGAAAAAGAAAAAACTGGTTCATAATAACATTGATTGGTTTGTTTTAGGGCATGATCCTCCATGACGACAGTGCACTTGAACAATAGATGTTCATATTTCAAAGCCTGTATATGCTATTGAACTAAAATATGACTTATACAACTGATTATTAGCCTTATGTATGATAAGCTCTAAATGGATACATGTGCAGGATACGTTTGCGCAAGTACTTATTGTTTTGTCTTCTAGGTCAAAAAGGCTGACTCATAGTAAAGAAAAGTGGGTTACTTCCCCCTCCCCCTTCCTTGTATGTATGTATGTATTTATACACATTAAAAGTACCAACCAAGCTCCATAATATGGATTCATATCAACTCTAGACCTTTTTTTTTTTTTTTTCTTATATCAACGCTAGACCTGGATCATCATTGTCAGTCTCATAAACAAACGCTGTTGTTATTCGGAGTGGCCATGGCCCCGGCCGCACCTCTCATCCAAATAATCCAGCTCACGTCACAAAAAGCCCACTTTTATATTTCTAGTTTGTTAATTTTATAAAAGTAAAAATAATATTTTACTAACAAAAGCACTATTTTGAGCTGTTCCGGTTCAGCCAGTGGGTTACGCTTGGCTCTGGCCTTGGCCAAGAACACTAGTGGGCGAATTCTTTCATCCAAGCCCTACCCCTTGGCAAAAAAGTTGCCCCAACCCCGGGCCATCCCTGTGCTTTTGTTAAAGTATTAATTGGTACTGATATGCATGAATAATATGAATGAAATTCTAATCAATTCTTAATTATGTTATGGTATACAACTAAATATGCAATTTATTATATCAAGCATAAGTGCATACAATCTACAAAATCCCTCTACATCAGAGGGGGAGATGTAGAGAAATTTTCTAATACAGAACGGAGTTTACATGATCTTAAAAAACTAAAACTTGTGCGTTGGAACTCAAAATCTGCATGATATGGTAAAAAACAACACTTTTAAGTGAACGCATATCAATGTGATAGATTTGATACTCAATGATAAACTCTACAATACTCCAGAAAACGAAGTCAGTTGGCACTCGCAAGTTCCGATTTCCAAGCACATCCATCTAATTAGATTCTCTAACTATCTACTACTCTAAAAATATTTTAATGCAAGAGTCAAATCTTTCAAACACATTTACTAGTCTACCAGAAACCGTTTGCACTATGACAGCCATTAAGCACATACATGGTAAGGCACAATATTGACATGCCAACATGGCCAATCCTCACCCCCCCCCCCCCCTCTTTCCCGGGCCGCCCCAAAAAAAAGACATAGAAAGGACACGGCAACAAATAAATGTATTTTAGCATATGAAAAGTGATAATAATTATCGATATACATAAAACAATGTTTCCTGCAATAAAATTTTTACTATCTTCTATATATTGCTTTGGATTAATTTTTTTACTAAACATGCACACAAAATTAGCACCAGCACATGTATTTGCTATGTCATCAAAAAATATCAGTGCCCTCAATGTAATTTAATGCATTTAGAACACATGAATCCCAAAAAACTTTATGTCAGTAGCAAAACTTTAGGGGTTCATCTATTAGTAAACATTGATAGACCAAGACCGCACTCTCGCTTAATAAATTACACTACTAAAGTATTAAGGGTCCTCTTGTAATTTGTAGGTACCAGGAGACCGAAGTCGATCACTAGTCATATATAGAAGACGACAAGTAGCAACAGTTTCATTTGATATGTTACAACTAGAATTCCTCTTTTTCCGACACAATTTCTCCACAATATGAACCCCTTTTAGATTCAAGCATAAGGTCCTTTTTTCTTTTGGAAGATACAAGAGCGAACAATTAACTTGTTGATATGGGCAGACCCAACCGATTCTTCTAATGTATCACGGTGAACAATTAGAAACTCACTAGGCTGAACTGTCCACTTCACATACATACGAGGTTAGAAACAAATAACAATCACAGTTGAAAGACCATGTAGGTGGTGGACAAATAAGCCTAAACAAAACTTGATGACATAATTTAATTCTTCATATTTAGGTCATTGCTAGTTTACTCCCTCCTTTGGAAGTCAGATCATAGGAGTTAGTTAAGAAACAAATCATTTGACATCCAACATATCATTCCCTAAAACATTCCAAGGCAAGAACAGTCAAGATTTTGTGAAGCAAAACTGAAATATGAATATATATATATATACCTCAATAGCCTTTTGCACTGCACTTGCCACCTCAAACTCAACAAAGCCAACACAAACCTATGGATACAACATGAGGGACCATCCATAGTCAAGACCAATAATTCCAGACACGAGCCACAAAAAAAAAAAAAAAAAGAATAATTTGCTGCATACTTTGTTGACTTGAATGTTGTTGCTCCTAATAGGTCCAAACTTCTTTAACTCATTCTCAAGTAAGGCAGGTGTGGCCTTCATAGCTCTTATGCAGATCGAGAAACTATCAGCTGCCCAAAAGTGAAGAAAAAAAGTAAGTAAAGCAACGACTGAAAAGTTATATAAAATGTTCCCGCAACATAGTGTAGTGAGTAAACTACCAACTAACACTGATTATTACAGAATGCCATACCCTTGCCCTCTTTCCCATTATCAACATCATCAGAACTGGAAACTGGTACCTCAGCTGCTGACGCTGGAGGACAGGCATGGTTCACTTGTTGTTCATGGCTCTTTGGCGGGTATTTATGGGGAGCCAGTGCCGGGAATGAAAAGCGCAAACCACTTTCTTTCAAATCCATCACCTAAACAACATTAACAACATCACAATGTTGTTTAACCATTGTGTCATTTCAGAAACACTTTTTTTCTTTTTGCCCATTTTGGCCAGTAGGCAGGTAACATATAGATTTCTGGCAACTGACACTTGTGTTCAAATGCCAGCATCCTTTCTCTGCTTAATCAACCAAGGTCTCTAACATTATACCGACACCCAGGTATATCAAGTTCTCACAAGTAAGCAGAACCAAAATGATTCGAAATAAACCTGCTCAACGGCCACTTACAATTGAAGAATAAGACTTGTCTGGAACTTCAATTTTTGTGCTAGATTCAACCAACATATGTGAGTCATCCTGTAGTTGATCAACCACCTTTACTACTGGAACCTCCTTGTCCACTGGTAACACCTCTCCATTCTCAGGAGGATTGTACCCTTTTGTCCAGTTGGATTCTTCTGCCATTGCAGCAGATTGCTCAGCAACATTATGTTCCTGCACAGGAGAGTGGTCTGCCAACCAATAAAAGAAAAATGAAAACTCAACATTAAATTGTTGACAGCCCCCCACAGAAGCCAAGAGTACAAATGATTTTTAATTCGACCCTGTAACTGGAAGCCAAAAAATGATAGGAAAGAACTAATTAAGCAAATTAACTGAATGGTTCCAGTACTTTGCTCTGGGGTGACAGGAGCCTCCACATCAATAACTGAATCTTGATTTTCATCATGTTGTTTTGTATTCTCCACATATCGAAACATGTCATTCAACACAAAATATTCTGTGTCAAGGAGCACAAGAAAGAAACTCTGGGCAAAGTTGCGAATCAAACCATCCTTTCCAATCTGATGCCCAGTTACAAGTACATGGACTCCACCATTATACGATTCCTGTGCATCCACAGATTTAATCTCCACCCTGAATTCGCCATACCTAAGTGATAGTATCTTATCATTGATAGCCTGTACATTGACATCCAACCAAAAGTACAAAGGAATTTTAGAATTGCAAAACTCTCAATGTCTGTTGAAGCTCAAACTTTCATCTAATCTCCCTTTTGGTTGCTTAAAAGGGCATGAAACAAATATGAACGATGAACAATTCCACAATCTAAAACCTTGAAAATGAAATACCTCACCCTACTAAGCCTAGTAGGGAACTATTTGACTAATATTACTAGCTTTTTCTTTCTTTTCAAAATCCACAATGAATCAAATTATGAAATTCAAGTGTTTCTTTCTTTTCTTTAACACAATATGCTCAGCATCCAACCGTAACAGAAAGATTTAGTTTTCCAATACCAATAACATGATGATTAAACATGATGCAACTAGGTTAAAGGATCAATAAAGGAAAACATGTGACGATTTATGTGTGGTGAGCAAATGTAAATATATTCAAAAAGAAAAAGCTTACTTGCACTGTTGTAGTGATTTTCATGGATCCATCATCCTCTGGACGACCAAGGTTACTAATATCCAGATAAAATCGGTAAGAAAGACCTGGTGAGTGGTGCAGTATATGATAGTACTGTTGAACAAAGGCATTCCCAACCTAACGCCCACAACATGTTCAATGAAAACCATCACAAAACCCAGCAACATAGTCAATGAAACAAACAAAATCAAGTACTAGCGAAAAGTGCCTAACTCAAATGTACATACAACTTGAGCGAAGACTGGTTGCTGTGCCATCGCTGCCGCCATAACTGATTGATCTTTTGCAAAGCTACAAACACTGCAAAAAAAAGTAAAATCATACTCTGCAAATACTCACTAAGGGCCAAACAGCTAAAAAGGATGTGCAAATACTACACTCAAATTCATGAAGACCAAATGATTTATTTTTAAAAATTTTCATGCACATAATGTTTAGTGTGGTGTTTTCAGTAAAAGTTAAAATCTAAACAGCAATATTCCTATCACAATTGAAGGAAAACCAGATTACCAGTTATAACATGAGGGAAGAATTATTTTAACAAACATTAAAATAAACAGATCCAATACAAACCATCTATAATTCTTTTATCTATGATTGACAGTATTAGATAAGTAAGGACACAAATGTTGAGAGAGAAAAAAAAAAAAGAAAAGAAAAGAAACTTGTTGCAGTAATTTAACAAAAACAAAAAGCTTGTCATTATTTTTTTAGCATACATATTTTACAATGACTGTAAGTTTATTTTGACTATTATTTTAGATTAATAATATGGAATGAAAAGTTTTTCTTATAAATTAGGACCATGAGTTAACAAGTCTTGAATTAATGTGCATATAATGCGAGTGTGGCTTACGGTTCCAAACCAATTGAGTGTAAAATAAGTGGCCCATGTGTAAGATTATATAGATTCATTTGGATAGATATTGGGTAAGTTCTTGAGCTTAATTTTTATCTTTCGTGGAATTCATCTTTCAGCACATGCATCAGGGCACATACTTATGTTTGGAGACTGTAGAGTGTGATTGAGTCAATTGGAATTGAAGAAAAAATAGATATACAGTAAACAGGGCATTCTACTGGAAAAGGCAGTTGACCAGCAGCCAATTGACTGGCACTTAGCCTATCGACCAGGTCATTGCAAGAACAAAAATTTATGCTTCTTGTGCTCATGTTGATGAGGGCTTTGGCGATGCAAGGGATGTTGCTGCCACGAGCAATGCTGGTGATGGTGTTGATGCTGCTTGATTAGGGAGCCTAGGATGGTATTTCCTAGGATGGATAGCTTATGGCTTCCTTCTTTTGTTTTTGAGCTCTACTATGAATTACTTGTCAGTTCATATATGATGAGGGACTTTTCATGATAATGTGTGTTTCTTCCTACCTTACTTTATGTTCCCTATACTATGTCAACCGCTGTCTTTTCTAAGTGTATTTGTATAGAGGCTTGTGATCCATTTCAACATAAGAATTACATTAAAGGGATCATACGTATACTCTGATTTTGCTCAAGTATTTACAATATCATTTTTGAGGCAAAGAAGGGTGTTGGGTGAGACTCCGCTTCCTCAGTTGTGCAGACTATAGTGAAGCAATCACGAAACTAGGGTAGATTGTTATATCCAATAGGATGAACGTAATGCACGAAAAACTTCATCCCTAGTGACGCAAATCATCAAAAGAGTTGCGGCTAAAAAAAAGGGATTGATATCGATCTGAACATCGATCGAGTTGCACCTCCAACTTTATGTGATCATCAACAAACACTTTATCTATATTTTTTTATATTAATTCCGGTACATACAGAAACGCAAGTAGTTCTCATCTCTGTTAGTCAGATGAACTATCGTTATGCATGTTGTATGATTTGTTTCTACAGTAAAATTGGTACTTGATATTTACATACTATACACTTGCACCAAATTTTAACAAACCTCAATTGTGGCTTCGTCTTGAAGGGTTCTGCAACAATACTATCACAGCATCCTTGATGGCAAAGTCTTTAGTTCTTCCTCAAAACCCAGCTCAATTCAACCACCCCAGCTTCTGTTCTCTAACTCCACATTGAAATGCCCTTCATTTAAAACGCTAATTGACAGACCCAAAGAACAGAACAAAATTCCACACACCAACCATCCTGATCACCAATCATGATTCCAAAAAAAAAAACTGATTGAATCAAATCAAAATGGAATCTTCAAACGAGAAAAACCACTACCCACTAACGATTTGGCCAAAAAGATTCAAAATTTGAGGTCCCCAGAGAAAAAAAGTAGCAAAACGCAAAATGGGTCTTTTAGATTAAACCAATTGCAAACACAAACAGAGTACCTACAAACTATGGAATAAAGAGTGAAGACTTTAAAGAGATAAAATGACACCAAGATGAGGAAAAGATAAAAGGTTCGAGAGGAAGACACAGGGAAATGTGGGGCTGTTATCAGAGAAGAAGGGATTGAGAAACGGTGGACAGAGAGAGAGAGAGAGAGAGGTGGTGGGATATTTGCGCATACTAGGCATTGTATATATATGTTGGGTCACCGTCGCTCATGGAATGTGCTATAAGAAAGAGCATCTCACTCCAAGAGGGCCCAACTTAGATGGTTCTATTGTACGGGAACTGGAAGATCTGGTTTGGTAAACCATCACTTTTCTGGGCTGCTGGTGGTGGTCAAATTTCTGAGACGAGGATTACCTTCTCACGTTTATGGGTGAAATCTCAAGCGTTATTCAACTGAAGGAGACGAGGTGGAGGCGAGTTTGAATTTTATCAATTTTTTTGGGTCAGGTAATAAAAAAAAATTATTTTCCATAAATAGTTTCAATTTAATAAGGTGAATGTTTTGTTTTTAACTAAACAAAATAGAAAATTAATTAAAGTGCATGCAAATAGATTTAGACACCTTTGAACATCGAATTAAAAAAGGGTGTGGATGAAAAAATAGATAAATAGGGCCGCGCTTAAATCGTGTTATTTTTAATTAATGTTGTTTTAGCCAAAAATATTGTATTGTATTGAAATTTGATTATTAATGATTGGTCTAACTTGATGAATTTATTATTTGTGATAGCACTTCATAAATTTTTTCAGCCAATGCTTAGAGCGGATGAAATAATATACTAATTTTACATAAATTTTATCGAGTAATATTAGATTGACCAAAAAAAAAAGCGAAAATAAGTATTAGATGAAGTGACATTATAATAATAATGTTTTTAGTCTCAATTTTATTTATTTAGTAATTAAAATTTATTTATCATGTCAGCTGTTATATCATTTGAAGTATTTTTTTAGTTAATGTAGCATTATCAAATTCTATTTTAAAAAACTACCACAGTTAATGAATGAAGCATTATCAAAGAGTGAAGCAATTCGTTAGACCGACAAACGAAATTGGGGTTGGGGAAGGAGTGGTACATGCCACCAACCCACCAAGTGCAAGTGGACCTTAAAAACATGGAAAATGTCCGAATACAGCGGATCTTAGAATAATTTAATTATTAATTTTATTATATAATATCATAATTCAACAAATAAAATGATAAGTCCGTAAGTGGATCCCACACAATTTAATAATCATTTTTCAATGCCATCTAATAACCACCTTATATGAAATAGTAGTTTTACTTTATTCATGTAATTATTTTATTTTATTCATATAATTATGTTCTCATTAAATTGTGACATCATATAACGGTAACGATGTAATCTCGCCGTTACCACCAACCCACTAAACGAGAAAGAGTCACGTTCACCAACCATGGTCCCACATTTCTATTTATTAGTGATGTTCACCAACCATGGTCCTAAACATAATCCACATCTTAGTTAGATAGATAGATTGTTTTTAAAATGACATTCGTAAGTGTGGCAAAATTGAAAAAATCAATGTTATAAAGAGAGAAAATGAAATCAACTTTGCAATTAATAAATCATTCATCTTAAGGCGAACTAATAGAGTTTTTTTTTTCTATGCTTCAAGACATTCTGTAGTACAAAAAATTGAGTATTATTTATGCAACATTTTTATATTTTAAATAGTAATTAATTTATTTTTTTAATTATATAATTTAAAACTAAAGTGTACATAGAGAACATGAGAGAGAGAGAGAGAAAGAAAGAGAAGTAGATGTGTACTAGTAGAGTTGTTTGACATTAGAAAATGTGTTAATTGAGGGTGTTTTTGGTAATGTTTTCATTTTTGTTTTTGTTTTTTGGTTTTTTGTGATAAAAATTAAAAATATAAAACATGTTTGACAATTATTTATATTTAAAAAATTATATATAAAAAAAATATGTTTGATATTATATAAAAAATTCACCACCCCAACCAACCACCTAACACCATGAAACACCAAACCACCTATCGCCACCAAACACCTACCACCACCATCACCGAAACCCACCCCCACAACCTCCTACAAAAATAATCACTCACCCTTGAAATCCACCACCCCTAACTCCATCAACACCATCGAAACCCACTCCCACAACCTTTTTTGCGAAGCCCATCGCCCACTCCCAAAATCCATCACCACCTAACTCCACTATCACCACTGAAATTCAACCCCACAACCCTTTCTGATAAACCCATTGCCCACCCCCAAAATCTATCACCACCCAACCCCAACCCCACCACCACCGAAACCCACCCCCACAACCTCTTTGTAAAACCCATCACCCCACCACTAAAATCTACCCCCACAAGGCCATAACTCCCCCTGCAACCCCGAAATCCACCACCTCCCAATCCCACTATTACCCTTGAAAATCCACCACCCAACACCCTTGCAAAAATCTACTACCATCCCCCAAAACCTTTTGTCACCACCAAAACAGAGAAGGGCGAGAGAGAGAGAGATCTAAAAAAAAAAGTGAAAAAGGGGAAGGACTTTGTTTTGCTGAGGATTGAAGCCAAGATCTCATTAAAATCTCATTTTGAAGCGCACGTTTGTTTGTTTGTTTTTTGTGGATATTTTCAAAAATATCCTTTTGAATGTTTCCAAATTTTGGTCTTTGTTTTCAAAATGTAACAGTAAAAAAAAACAAAAAACTTTACCAAACGTCTTTTAAAAAAAACATGAAGTTACCGA